CGGGCGCCCCCGCGCTGCGGCGTTGGCCCTTCCCGACTCGTCAGGTCCCTGCGTTCTCTCCTTCCACAGTACTTCCTGGGGATCCTGAAAGCCAAGGGGAGCCTGCGACCTGCAGAGCGCCAGTCTCTGTTTGGGTGCTGGGAGCTCATCTACGGCGCCAGCCAGTGAGTGGGGGTGGCACCGGGAGAGAGGGAGGGCTCTGCCCCCGGCACGAGCGCAGACGCACAGGTCCACGGCCGGAGTGTGCCAGTTTTCTCACCTGTGACCGTGGCCCATGCCCTGGCCTGCCCTTTTGGCCATCTGCATAATGGGGCCACAGCCCCACCTCGGGGCAGGGTTAGGAGGTTTAAATGAGGGTGTGCGTGAGCAGGCCTGGGGCCGCCCTTTTATTGTTCCTGCCCGCACAGAGAGCTGCTTCCCTGCTTGGAAGAAGGGCGCTGGGGACAAGGGCTAGAAGGCTTCTGCACGCACCTGGAGCTCTACACCCAGTTCGCTGCCAATGCAGAGAGGTCCCAGGCCACGCTCCAGGTAACCTGGGGATGAGCTCAAACCCACCCCTTTTCCTTGCTTGCCCCTTAATCGCCATTCTTTCAGTTCCTGCATTTACAGAGCCGTCTGGGTGCCCAGCGCTGGGCTAAGTTCTCGGCAGGGAAACCAGGTTTTTCTCAGCACACCGCCAGGCAGGAGTGTGTACACAGACGGGTGTGACAGGAGTGCCTTCTTTCCCTGCTGCCAAAACCTTTCCCCCTCACTCTAGGAGCAGCTAAAGAAAAACAAGCGTTTTCGGAGGTTTGTGAGGCTTCAGGAAGGCCGCCCTCAGTTTGGAGGCCTTCAGCTGCAGGACCTGCTGCCTCTGCCTCTGCAGCGGCTCCAGCAGTGAGTAGTGAACCCCCTTGACTCAAACAACCTCGAGACTGACTGCCGCCCTAGGCTTTGTGAGGAGACTGGGGTCTGTCCCACCCTCCTGGGCCAGATCACCTGAGTGACTGACTCTGCAGTAGTACTAAGATCAGCGGTCTCAGGCATGGGACTGTGGAAGTCTACCTTGAAGTACGAGGGCCTGCCGTAAGGTTTGACGTGGGGTATTTGGGAAGGAGGGGCCAGCCTACACTGTAATTTTTTTTTTTTTTTTGGACACATTGTCTTGCTAGGTAGTTCAGGCTGGTCTTGAACTCTCTGCAGTCCTCCTGCCGCAGCCTCCCAAGAGCTGGAATTACTGGCATGCACCACCACACCCAGCTAGAATTTCAGTTCCTGGGAAAGAGCTAAGGGCTGACATCCTCCTTGGTTTAATTCACCATCTTGTGACCTGACCTCCCGAACTATGGTCAATCTGCAACTGACTCTGCAAACCCAGGCTCTGAGCCCCAAATGGAAGGGAATAAATACAGTGTCCAGAAGCAGATCTTTCCTGGCCCTGCAAGTGAAGGATGTGGGTGGACTGATCTTGTCAAGCAGAGGCAGAGGGAGTTTTGCTCTACTTCCCTCTTGTAGATTTCCTACTGTCCAATTCCAGGTATGAGAATCTCGTTGTTGCTTTGGCTGAAAACACAGGTCCCAACAGCCCTGACCACCGACAGCTCACACGTAGGTCCTTGCTCCTCTCCAGCATCCCTTTCTGGTTTTGCCCTCCCAGTGTCTGGTATGTCTATGTTCTATTACTATGTATAGCATCCTTGTTTGCCTTTTCTTCAAGAAATTAGGCCCCAACCCAGATCCCCTCCAGAAGAGCCTCTTTTACCACCAGTCACCCAAAGTCAAAATTGTATTGGGGGTGACGTGGAGGATGTTATTCCAGGGGCTGCCCGACTGATAAGCGAGACTGCCCAGAGAGTGCACACCATTGGTGAGAAACAGAAGAATGACCAGCACCTTCAGCGTGTCCAGGCCTTGCTCAGTGGACGCCAGGCAAAGGGGCTCACCTCAGGTTGGCCATGTACTCCCCCTCAATCCTCAGCTGCCCGTTGCTTGCTTACCTCTTCCTCTACAAAGCCAGCGCATACCCTTCTCCTCAGCTTGTCCTTGTATCCCCATGGATAACAGCCTTCTCTTTCTACAGGTCGCTGGTTCCTACACCAGGGCTGGCTGTTGGTGGTGCCTCCTGCTGGGGAGCCTCGGCCCCGAATGTTTTTCCTCTTCTCTGATGTGCTTGTCATGGCCAAGCCCCGGCCCCCATTGCATCTGCTAAAGAGTGGCACCTTTGCCTGCAGGGCCCTCTACCCCATGGCCCAGTGTCAGCTCTGCAGGGTCTTTGGTCACTCGGGAGGTCCCTGTGGGGGACTGCTCAGCGTAAGTAATAGGTGGGAGCGTTAGGTGCCGAGTGTATCTCAAATGCTTATGTGTTTGTTTATGCCCTTGGCCCGAGTCTCTCTTCATGGCAATAAGAGGTACACAGCCAAAGGCTGAGCTTCACATTCAGTGCTCATCTCATCCCTGAGTTACCTCCATGGAAACAAGGAGGCCTTCAGCCTGGAATCTTCTAAGCCGTGCTCTAAAAGGTGGTCTCTCTCCAGCTGTCCTTCCCCAGTGAGAAGCTACTGCTTATGTCCACAGACCAGGAGGAACTGTCACACTGGTACCAGAGTCTGACACTGGCTATTAGGTAAGTTTTGTCTCCCCAGAGAAGAGGGCTGTGCAAGTCCCACGGCTGAAATGAGCAAGCCTGACACCAGCTCATTCCTACATCTGCCGGCAACCTCCCCGAAGCCTGCAGGTAACTGTCTGAGGAGTGCTCTTGCTAATGCCTGAACTGTTTTTTCTTCACAGCAGCCAGAACTAGAAGAACCTACAAATTCTAAAATTCAAGACACTTCAGGGATAGGTCAAAGCCAAGAGTACAAAAGGATCTTCTAACAAAGTGAGAATTTCTCACGACCTTTCATAGTTTAACAAGGCTCATTTTGTGTTTAGCAAGCTACTCTGGGTCATCAGACCAGCTCTTAAGAATTACAAAACCAGGCAGGCATGATGGTACACACCTGTAATCCCAGCACTTGGGAGGCTGAGGCAGGAGGATCACTGTGAGTTCAAGGCCAGCCTGGACTACATAAGGGAGTTCAAGGCTAACCTGCATTACACAGTGAGACTCTGCCTAAAAAAAAACTAGGAAATCAGTTCTAACCCAGCTGAACATACGCTGAACCAGCCCCTCCAACACAGGAGCTTTGGGACGGATAAGCTCAGGCTATCCATGGCCAGCTGTTTATCAAGACTGCAACTTTGGAAATGTGAATTTTTATGTGGTGGTATAATTTATTTTCCACTGGATTTTAATAAAGTTTTTTGTTTTTGTTTTTAACTGTCTCAGCTATGAGAAAAAGGGTTTCTGGGTTGTAAAGGCTGGCGACCTCAGTAATACAAGGAAAAGGACTGGAGCTCCCGCTGCTCTGCTCTCACTCTGGAAGGCAGCCTCTTTTGTCCTAAAAAGGAAAGCTTTTCAAGGAGGCCTGGCTGTCCTTAGTCATGTGGCATGGGTGTACGCATCATCAGCTGCAAGGGAAAAGTACACAGGAGAAGCCAGTCACAAGAATAGACTTGGTTTTACTAGGCCTTCTGGAGTTGTCCTTTCTTCCTGGATGGGGCTGTGCCTGAGACCCTCTGTCACAGGCTTGCTGAATCTTCTCCTTAGTCCCTGTTCCACTTGCCGGGAAGTAGCAAGGTTCCACGTCTCTGTGCTCCAGTTTACAGGCTCCTTCCAGGCCTGACTGTCACCAGCCTCTTTCTCCTCTAAACGTAAATCCTCAGGAAAGGGTATGCCAGCCTCTGTGAGGGGAAAACCCAGCGTGCTTCAGTTTCCAGGATTTCATCTTACCCTCCCCAGACTCAACTCCCAACTCGTTACCTGACTCTGGAGCTTCCACACCCTTTTCTGGAGTGCAGTCTTGGAGAAGCTGGTGAATAGTCTGTAGTTTCTTCTCTAAAAGCTCCCGCTGGGTTCCAACCAGAGCAGTCACACTGCAGAAACACCCACTCAGGGCCTACCCAGTCTGTCCCTACTCTTCCCACCTACCACAGATTCCCCCACACATTCTCACTGCTCAAAAAGGGGGTCCAACTGGGCCATCAGGTTGTTCAGGTGCTGCTCGGTCTGAGCCAGCTGTTGTGTCAAGTGGGCCAGCTGTTGCTCTGGAGAAGAAGGAAACAGGGAGAGGCAGTGGTTACTTATACTCTGCTGTCCCTGTCTTTCCCCACTGAGCAGACAGTTCAACTCACCTGACTGCAGTGATTCCTCCTTGCCTTTCTCTTCTTGGAGATCTGCAATCTCATCTTTGCCCTGTTGTAGAGGGAGGAAAGGGCCATACTGTGGCAACAAGGTTCTCTAGCATGTCTCCAAAACCAATAAAGACAGAAGCCGTTTTTGGTAGAGGAACTATTGAGTTTTTAGCTTGAAGAATCACAGTCATTTCCAGTTTAGCTTTTCACACAACGTACCAATATGCCCCACATGTGATCAGTGATGAAACATTTCCAGGAATGAGCAACTCTTCCAGTTTGATAAAGCTCTAATCGTCAGATGGTATATAAAGCCACAGTCTGTTCTTCATTTATCTGCTTTCCATGATGCTGATTAGAGGTCAGTGCTTTCTAAGTAATGTCTCTCTTCAACATGACAGCCCCTCACGCATTTGAAGATAATGGTCTTACTCTTTCCTTCCCTTGCATGTGGGGGATCAAACCCAGGGCCTCCTGCCTGCTAAGCAAGGGCTCCGCCACGGAGCCACATCCCTAACCCTTCTTTAGTCTTTTTTTTCCCACAGGAATGAAAAGTATATTTTATTTTAAAGAGAGTAGTAAATGAGAAACAAAGAAATAGAACAGTAGCAGCATACCAGTATCACAAGCATAAACAAATCAAAGCAAGAACATTCAAAGTGATAGAGTCTCAAGAGAAAATAATGCGAATCAACAGTGGTTGTTACATTACATATCTCTAGGGGCTGGGGATTTAGCTCATGAGGTCATGAGTTCAATTCCTGGTACCAGAAAAAAAAACAAAACAACAACAAAAAAATTACATATCTCTAGTCGTTTGTGATATAAAATCTTAAATTTTTTTTTTTTTGTCTTTTTGAGACAGGGTCTCGCTATGCAGCTCAGGCCGGCCTTGAGCTCACTTTGTAGCCCAGACTGGTCTCAAACTCGAAACAATCCTCCTGCCTCTTTCTCCCGAGTGCTGGGATTACAGGCGGGCGCCACCACACCTGGCTTAAATCTTTTCTATTAGTGCTCAATTCATGTTTTTCTCTAGTTGCTTTACTGAGCACACAAGTGCTTAAAGCACTACCCTAATGAGAGTAAAATTCTTCCAGTGTTCTGATTAGCAGATGAAGCACAGTACTTTGTTCTAAGCACTGCTTTGGGAAGTTGTCAGGTCACATAATGAATTTACTTAGTAATCAAATGGAATGTCTCTTTTTCACGCTGCTACTAAGTAACTTGCTTCTTTCCGACCAGTACTTGGATCCAAGAACTGAGTTTAGGCTATCCTTGTGAAATTTCATCATTAAAATCAGACCCATAGCACTCGGGAGGCTGAGGCAGGGTTACTGCCACAAATTCGAGGCCAGCCGAGGCAAATGAGGAAAAAAGAAGTCCATCAGGTTTACCCGGGATATAGCTCAGCAGCACAGTGCCTTGCTTGGCACGTGCAAGGTCCTGAGCTCTATTCCCAGCACAAAAAAAAAAAAAGTAAAAATCAGACTCATCTTCGCCTATTATGTCTACGTGGGATCATTCTTAGCCATCTCTTCTAATTTCGTATCTCCAAATTCAGCCCTCTTATTTCCTAAAGCAAGTGAGTGACAGGACCAGGGCTGTATCAGATACAGCCCTGAGTGGTGCCACTTCCCGTTTCAACAGCTTTGATCCCCCGAAACGCGCCCAGCTCACATTTCAGGGCCTCTTTCCCAAGGGAAACCTGGGACCGCGTGGTGGGGTGAATTCTAGGTACACTGTGGCGCGGCCACCGGCCACTTGTGCCAGGTGTGGAGCCTCGCAGGGAGCCGCACCGAAGCAGTTCAGACACTGGCTGGGGTGAAACCTCGGCTCCACTAGTTACTAGTGCGTGACCCCAAGCAAAGGACCGCTCTTCCTCGGACCGTGGGAAGATGAAATGCGACGGTCACTATTCGTCAGGTGCTCTTCATATCTGTTACTTTTCTGGGGGCTCATAATGGGCAGCCTGGGCACGTTAGCCACTTAGCAAGACCCTGTTTTAAAAAATAAAAATCAAGACGGTCTAGGGGTGTACTCTGCCAAAGCCCTGGGTTCAATCCCCCACCAAAAGAGAAACAAGAAACAAAAGCACGCGTGAGGAAGCCGAGAAACTACCGTGTTTTACAGACAGTCGGCAAGCGGCGCCTTGTTTTTGGTGCCAGGGCGCCCCCGAGGGAGAGTCGGGCCCGGGGCACCCCGCTCACGGCCGTCCCGCACCTGCAAACACTTGTAGAGCACAAAGGCCACGACGCCCGCGGTGTACAGCGTCCCCCACGGCAGCGCCCGGGCCCGCTCGCGCTGCTCCTTCGGCGCCGGTCGCCGCCAGGGTTCGGCGGCTCCGGGGCCCACCTGGGCGCGGTGCCCTGCGGAGGGAGGGGCGGAGGGCCGTCAGCACAGCGCAGACGCCGCGCAGCCAGTCCCAGCCTCCCTCCGGCAGCCCTGGCTGGTACCTGGCTGTGCCCTGCAGTAGCGGCTGGGGCACTCTCCGAGAACCGCGAGGAGCGCAGACCCAAGCAGCAGCCCCAGCACAAGCCACATCGAAACCGCGCCCGCCATTGCTGGCGCACAGCCAACGCGCGCGGGGCGTGGTCGTTGCAGCGTCGCCGTCCGTGCCAGTGCGCAGGCGCACACGCCCGTGGAGCCAATCCCGCGCCGGGCTTCCTAGAGAGGCCACGCCCATTTCCAAGTAGGCGGGATATATTTGCATGAGGACGTGTCTGGCAGGCTTTCCTAAATTAGTTCATTTTTAATCTATTTAGATATTCTTTTAGCCAGAATGCCTCCAAAACATTGTAGGTCTTTAAATGTTATATTTTAAAAGGCGACTTGATTTCAGCTTTCGTAATACTAACTTTCTCACTCTAACTGTAAAATGAAATCTCTACCGGCGGTATAAAATGTTAAGGGCCGAGCCCAGCAGTGAGAGTTCGTGCTGAAGGCCTGTTTCCTAGGCTACAAGCGGAGGACTTGTTCCTCGTCTCTTTGCCTAGGGGAAAGTCCCCGGACCTTGGGCAGAAAGTGCCACGTGCTCACGCGCGTAGACTTTCCCCGCGCATCACACCTAGCCCGCCAAGAAGCTTCCCCGTCCCTCGTGGCGGGGAGCCGAGCGGCGTGTGGCGGGGCGTCGTCCGTCAACTCTCCTAGTGACGCAGGCAGTGCGTGTGTGCGCACCAACCACACGGGGCTCATTCTCAGCGCGGCTACGTTTTGCTTAACATTTGGGAAGTGTAGCCGATGAGGCTCACACACCCCATGGTCGTTCTGATTAAGTGAGGCAATGCTTAGAACCGGGCCTGGGAGTGATCTCTTTTTTGGTACAGGGAATCGAACTCAGAACCTGCGCCTGCCAGGCAAGGCAGGCGCTGTGCCGCTGAGCTCTATACCCAGCCCCCTCGTGGTTTGAACCTGAGTTCTTAAGAAGCGGCCCGTGGAAACGACACTGCCTCTCCGGGACGGCCCACCTCCATTTCCTTGTTGCACAGCTCTGAGCTGAAGTGTGTCTCCTTCATCCAGACCCTTAACTTCTAATTCACTTTGCGAGTATTTTGCTTTCTGTATTACCGCTAGGCTGTTCGTTCCGTGAGCGTGGGAGCCACGTCTCTATTTCCTGTTCTCCTCCCAGGCCTACGGCGCTAGCGAGCACTAGATAAATAAATAGCGGAATGAAACTAACGAATGCTCACGACGACCCAAAACGATAGCTATAACTACGCCCTTAGAAAGAAGGAGCTCAGCGCTGGGGAGCCGAGCAGCAGGATCGCAAGTTCAAGCCCAGCCCGCGCACCTCGGACACTTAGCGAGAGCCGGTCTGGAAACACGAACGGGCGGAGTGCCCGCCCCGCGCCCCGCCGCGCTCCTCTCCGCGCGTGCCCCACCCCTCCTCGGTAGAGGTGTGTTTCTTCCCTCTGCTTCAGGCCTTCATTTCATTTTCTGGGCTGGCAGGGCCACCTTGCTGCGTGAGGACAGAAATATGTCCGGTTCACGTTCCTGCCAACGGGCAGCAGACACATGGAATATGAGCGCGTCGTCTTGTTTGTCCAGAAGGGGCCGGCGAAGGACAGGGCCGGGCGAGACGCGCCCCGGGCAGCTGTCTCGGGGCACGGACCGCAGGCGGGCCGTGTGCAGAGCCGGGCGCGCCAGACCCGGCCCCGTGCAAAGGAGGGGTTCGGTCCAGTTACACAAGTGGCGCCCAGCTGGTTGCTGCCTTTGGGGAACTCAGGCCCACTACTGCTAGACCTGACTTTTTTCAAAAATAATTATTTTATCTGGAGATGGGCTCCATCAAGATTTTAAGTTAGAAATCTTGCCGGGCGTGGTGGCACAAGCCTGTAGTCCCAGCCCTCGGGAGGCTGAGGTAGAAGGATCACGGCAAGTTCGAGGCCAGCCTGGGCTACATATTGACTTCAAGGACACCCTGAATTACAGGGCGAGACCCTGTGTCTAAATAAATAAATAAATGAAATTTTATAATTTTTTTTTTTTCCCCCTGGTACTGGGAACCGAACTCACGATCTTGCCCTTGCTAGGCAGGCACTGTGCCGCTGAGCTAAATCCCCAGCCCCTGAAATTTTAAAAATTGGAAATTTCTCAATTTTTAAATTGATAAGGAATTGGGAGTATACTTACGGTATTTGATGCTTATATTTATTTATTTATTTATTTGGTCTTTTGGGGACAGGATCTCACTATGTAGTCCAGGCCGGCCTCAAACTCAAGGCGATCCTCCTGCTTGCTGGGATTACAGGGGTGTGCCGGGACCCCTCATTATTTTTATTGTTGTTCTTTGTTTTTTTCCGGTACCGGGAATCGAACTCACGACCTTGGGCTTGCCAGGCAGGCACTGTGCCACTGAGCTAAATCCTCAACCCCCATTCTTAAAAGCTTCGTTTTCTTCTCTCTCCCTCCTTTCCTCCCTTTCCTCTTCCCTCCCCTCCCAAGACTGCACCCTCACCACTTTGCTTAGGCTGACCTCAAACTCCCTGGGCTCCACCACCGGCCTCCTAAATACGGAGGAGTCCAGGCGCATGCTCTCTTACCCACCTCAGTGTTTAAGTCTCCTGGTTAAATCAGAAAAATTAGTTATCTTTGGGGTTGGAGACAGACATTGTACTTAAAGTAAACTTGAATAATTAGTTAAGAACTAATTCTAGATATAAATACGTGCAGGTGAATCTGCAGGTGAATCTTGTGCTAAGGTCCACTTGCAAAATAGCAGTTCTTTGGGTTAATTTCTATTTAGATTACAATGTTTTAAAAATATAAACTAAAAATATCCGCATTTGAAGTTTCTCTCTCTTTTTTTCTTTTTCCCCAGTACTGGGAATCATACTCAGGACCTTGCGCTTGCCAGGCAGGCGTTGTGCCGCTGAGCTAAATCCCCAGACCCTCACTTGAAGTTTCTATATCATTAAAACTCTGCGGGATCACAGCAATTTAGAACTAAGATCTTCAGAAGATTTTTAAGGGAAAACTATTTTGTCACTGACATGTTTTAGACTTGATAAAACAGTACTGAAAAGGAGCCTGGGCTGGGTGTATGACATACACAACTGTAGTCCCAACTACTTGACCGGCTGAGGCAGGAAGATCACAAGTTTGAGGCCAGCCTAGGCCGTTAGCAAAACCTTGCCTTATCTCAAAATAAATTTTAAATCTGGTCATGTTAAGCATGTCTGGAACCCCAGCACTCTGGGAGGCTGAGCTAGGAGGATTTTGAGTTCAAGCCCAGCCTTGGAGATTTAGTGAAAGCCTATCTAAACATAAAAAGTTATAACGGGGTGTGGTGGCGCACGCCTGTAGTCCCAGCACTTGGAAGGCTGAGGCAGGAAGACTGCCTTGAGTTCGAGGCCAGCCTGGGCTACACAGTGAGTTCAAGGCCATCCTGAGCCGCAGAGCCAGACCCTGCCTCAAAAAACCAGAAAGGGGGTCGGCTGGAGATGCAGCTCGGTGCCGAAGTGCTTGCCTTGCATGTGTGAGGCCGTGGGTTAAATCTTCACTGGGGAGGGGGACTGAGTGGGGGAGGTAAGAGAACGAATTTGATTTTTTTCATGTAACAGAACATCTCATCCTCTCATTTCCCATCGACCCATCGGAGACAGTGGGTGAGTTACGCTGGCCTTTTCCGCCGGCTGGCAGGAGGCTCCTCCGCGGGCGGCGCCCTGGTCCCACCGCGTCTCTGCCCGCGCCAGACCGGCTCCCTGGGCCTGCAGAGCCGCTGTCGTCGGCCCGCGGACCGTCCGGGCCCGCTCTCGCCGCAGCCAGCCGCTCGGAGTCGGCCCCGGCCGGGATGAGCGCGCGCTCGTGCCATTGCTCCTTCAGTCTCTGCGGACGGGCCTCCGCCGCGCGGTCTGTGGCGGCGCGCTGCACTTCAAACTCTCCCTCCGCGCGCTCTGCCGCC